TCCTGCTGATGAGTTAGGAACATTCAGGAGGGGGGGTTCCTTCGGACCAGCGAGCAGCCGCAGAAGTGGGACCCTGGGCACGCAGGTGCCTTCTGCCTCCAGGAGACCTGGGGATGGAGCCCATGTCTGCTTCTCTCCCAGGGTTTTGGTCCTGGTCCCAGACCAGGGGGCCAGCAGCATCCTGCAAACTGTGCGAGGTACACTTCATTTGCTGCTGGTCACCGCCGCCACGTCATGGCAACACCAAGGCCATCGCTTTGCCAAAGCAACTCGCCCCTCTCTGGTGTCAGGCACCCCCACTGCCGCCCTGCCTCACCGCTCGGGGGTGCCAGGCTGACGGGCGCTGGAAGCGGAGCAGGCGGCAGCCAAGCGGGGCGGTGGGGACGCTTCGCTGGCTCCAAGGCGAGCAGCAGCATGCAGTGGTGCCCCCCACCCAAACCCCAGCTCTTCCTGATCTCCCGGAGGCCAACGTCATCCTTCCTAACCCTTTGGCTCTCGTCACTCGTTCAGTGCCAGCCCCCAGCCCCGTCCCACCTGAGGTCCGTGCACTGCTTGGAGGTATTGACGAGGACGCGGAGCTCGGAGCCGACATCCAGCCTGCTGCCTCGGATGGTCACTCTGGTTCCTCCAGCCTTCGGGCCGTTCAGGGGGGCTATGGACTGCACCACAGGAAGCTAAAAACAAAGGGGAAATCTGTTTTCTAGCCTGGCAAATGCACATGTGGATGCTCCACACTGCACGTGGGAACTGCTTCAGTAAATCCAAGCACCCAGTATCGCGAGGCTCCGGAGCAGCAGCACTACTAAAGCTGGCAGGGTTTCAGAGCAAGGAGAGAGGTGCAAGTGCTGAGGAGTGAGATCACACAGAACCTCCGCAACCCTCTGCACTCCCTCAGTTCTGGCAATAAAGGAGACCTGAGCCCAAACTGGAGCCCGGGATCCCACCAGTCCCTTGAGATTTCCAAAGAAGGGTCCAGAGCTGGCAGCAGCTCAAAGTCCATCAACAGAAGGAAATTTCTCATTCATTCCAGCTCCCACCACCTCTGCCCTTCCAGGTCCATTTCCTTCGGAATGCAATGGTAATGCTAAAGCCCTGCCGGGTGATGGCCTTGAGAACTATGAAAACAGCCACCTGGGTCTAGAGAATTGAATATCAAACTCCTTCTTAAGGAAGCTTCACATCTGAACCTCTCGAGGCAACAGGAACGGAGGGGGAAGTTGCTTTGCCTCTGGCCATTCGCAGCAGAGATCAGCACGCACGTTATCTGCTCTTGCAGCGCCTGGAAGTCTTCCTGAGATTCATGAGCTCGCGGCTTTGAAAACTAATGCGGCGCTGAGCCCCCGTGCCAGCTATGCGGAGCGCCCAGGAGGGGCTGCTGGGCAGCCTCCCCGCTCCCGCTTGAAGAGGACGCCAAGGGCAGAACAAATAATTATTTCAAGGCCCTTCCATAAGCGCTTGGTAAGTCCCTGTCAAACACCGCGCACCCTGTCGGCACGAGGCCCGCCGGGCTGCGGAGCACGGCTGAAGCCCGCTCGCCGCCCGCCCCTCGCTGCAGCCGCAGAGCGAAACCGCAGCGAGGCAGACGGAAGCGCAGGGCGAAGCTGCTCCGCACCGCCCGGGGCTAACGCCTTTCCCTGCCGACCCCAGCCACACAGACAGGCTCACTAATGGCTGTCCTTGCCTGTGCCCTACCCTCAGGCTGCTTCATTGCTCTATGGCCATTTCCTCTGGTTTCTCATCATTACCCATTTCCACAGGAGTCATTTTGTTCATTCGTGTTTCTCCGACTGTCTGCAGGCAGCTGCCTCCAGCCCTTGGCCCCAACCTATGCATTCAAATCTGCAGTGACGACAGCAGCAGCGAGGATTATCCACGCTCCCCAAAGCCCTCCAGCTCTTCCCTGCAGCCAGAGCCAGAGGCTACTGCGCCCAGCCCGGTGCCAGCACTGATCGCCTCGCTGCGTCTTCTGCAAACCCAGCTCGTTTGGCGAATTCAGCTCATCCACAGCCTGCTGCAATGTCCTGGAGAAGCCTCTCAACGCGGGACAGCTTTCTGCTGTGCCACCCGCTGTGACAAGGACTCCTCTGCCACTCCCCGGGGGGACAGCCTTCGCCGTGAGCGGGCTCGGGAGCTGCCAGCACGGAGCCGTCGCGGACCCGGTCTGAGTGCAGCAACCGCTTTTGCTCCCCGTGCTTTGTTCAGCGCTGGCGCTTGTACAGGTGTTTCCTGAGAGGGCTCTTCCTTGCGTGCCGAAAGCTGGTGAAGAAGCCGCCCAGCCCTTTCCCACCCTCCAGGCCCTTCTCCCCGTTGCCAAGAGGACAACTGGCCCGGCCACAGAGGACGTGGCCGCGTCAGCACACACATCCCGATGGCGACGCTGGAGAAATCCCAGACCCAAGGTCCGTCACTGGGCCGTACCCCAGCTGTGCCCTCCTCTCCGCCAGACCACTGGGTCTCCGAGACGCTTTGGGTGTGAACACAGACACCTGGAAACGGTGGGAATGGGTCCTCGAGCAAACGTCCTCCTGGGAACCACAGTGGAGGCGAGCCTGGCAGCGCCCTCACCTCACCGTCGGGGCATGGGGCCGTGCCCGTGCTGTGCCGTGCCTGTGCTGGGGCGCTCTGCGCAAACCCCTCTGGAGGCAACACCAAACAGGCGATCGGCTACGGGGCGGGGGATTATGCTCCACGGTCCTGCCCTGAATTCCTCACAACGGCTACCAGGAATCCAACGTTGTTTCCTGGGGCTCACGTCTTCTTCCAAGCCGCTGGGCCGCGGCATGGGCTGTTCTTCCCCAGCACAAGCACAGAAGTGCTGAGCAAACAGCACGGACGCGCGGGGCTGCCTGGGAACGGCATCTGGCCAGAGGCGAAGGTGCTTGGAGGAAGGAGAGGAGCTGCATGGATTTCCTTCAGCTTTGTAGAGATGAAAGTCACCTTTGTGAGATGGCGCAGCACAAAGCCATGAAGGGCTTTTCTTTGCATAATGACACGGGGTTAGCTCAGGTCTAAGCCCTACACCTTATTCTCATGCAAAACTAAGACAATCTCTGCAGCAAAAAACATCGGCTCTAAATACTGTGAACCCACAGCACGTAACTTCCACGGCACAAAGAGACTTTGCAAGTCTCAAAAAACCTCGCAGGCTGTAACAGTGTTTTAGCAAAAGGGGAGAAAGAAAAATGAGCTCCTGTTGGGGCAGGAGAAGCAATGACACAGGCGGGGCAGGTGACAAACCGCTGGAGGAGGAACGGCGTCCGCTGTGCCTTGAGGACCCCGGCACTTCCTGCCGTGGATCCTTTGGGAGCCAGCGGGGGCTGCAGGCTTGTCCCAGGGGCACGGGGAGCATCAGGGCGAGGAGTACCAGAGGAACATCCAGGAGGCAGCTACTCACCACGTAGGAGTATCGCTCCCTGGACCTCCCTTCCCGGCTCACGTTAACTGTCACCACGTCAGAGAACGCCTCCACAGCCTCTCCGGTCTGGCACACGATCCTGCGGGCGGGAAAGGGGAGGTCAGTGGTCCTGCTGCCCCTCCAGGGCAGAGCCCATGGCTGGCGCCGCCGCCGCCCCCCCCCCCTCCTCCCCTGCCCAGCGCCTGCCACGGGGGTGGGATGGGCAGCACCGGCCACCCCGTGGCTGGAGGAGGGCACCCGCGTCCCACCCACGCCAGGTCACCGCCCCGCTCCTGCTCCGGGGCCCAGTGTGCCAGTCGGCCCAGGGATAGTGGGTGGGAGCGGGGCAACAGGGACGGGCAGGAGACATGAAGGGGACAGGGACAGGCAGGAGACATGAAGGGGACAGGGATGGGCAGGGGACAGGGACGGGCAGGGGACACGAAGGGGACGGGGGCTTCCTCCCCAGCACTCACGCCTCGGAAACGAGGTATCTGTCGGGCAGCGGCGTGCACTGCACGCTGCCTATCCTGACAGCACCCAGGACGTCGCTGAAGCGTCGGCCCAGGTTCCTCCCGCGGATGGTCAGCAGGGTGCCCCCCTCCAGCGGCCCACGCAGCGGCTCGATCTGCAGCACCAAGGGAGAGGTTGGAGGAGAACCATGGGGAAGCCTCTTGCCTCCACCCCTCAGCCCGTGCCTGCATCCCACTCGGCCGCCCGAGCAGAAGGCAGAGCTGCTCCCGACGCTCCGGTTCCCCCACGGCCGTCCACCCGCACACCGCCCTGGCTGCAGTTTGGCAAACGAGAGGCCACCACTGGGTTTGGTGCCGGCGTTTGTCCAGGGATGACTCCAGCTGCAAGCACATCTGGGGCAAACACTCCTTCACACCACAGCTTCCGATGGAGCTGGGGCAGGGACAAACGCAGGGGCTCGGAAGCCCAGAGGAGGGGCGCTGGTGTGCCGGGAAGAGGGTCCTACCATCACTCTTGTAAGGGTGGTCCTGAACACAGCGGGGCCTTTCAGGACAAAAACAAGACAAAAAGTGTCCCGATGCATGGAGCGTGGCTGAGACGCCAGCGCTGCGGCACCCCGGGGTGCAGCACGAGTCCGGCGCTGCGGGAGGAGAAGGCTGCTCCCCATCAGCACCCACTGCCAGGCTCCGTGCCCCCCGTCGCCTGCTGTGCCGTCCCCCGCCTCCAGGAGGGCTCTGCGAGGGCTGGCGTGCTCGCGTGACTCTGGAGGGTTTGGGTTTCCCAGCTAATATTTGCTACGGAAATAGCGGCAGAGTCCTGCGATGCTCTGTGACCTGAACTGTGGTTTCCTTCCACGATTTTCTGGCGAGGTGCTGATAACGCTTGACGAGTGCCGGGGAAGGACGGGCTCACGGGAGCACCCCCCTCCCACAGTGCCAGGAAGGAAGAGGCAAGCGATGGGGATCCTCAGTCCCTCCACACGGTCTCGCAGCCATTGCTCCATCCCTCCCTAGGAACGGGAATCCCATACCCTCCCCGATTCTGATGGTCGCATTAGCTGTTTTGCCTCTCCAGCTTCTCCTTTCCCTGGGAGCTCACTTTAAGACCTGCTCTGTGTCCGTTCTTTGTCACTCATCAGGGACAAATTTGTTGGCTCATACCTCACCTTTACGCAGGACCCCAGATCCAGATGCCCCCAACAAACATTCATTCAGCTACAATTTAAATAAAGCTCATTTCGAAATGCACAGTGACCCCTCTGCCACTCTTCATCTCCGCAGAACTGCAGAGCCCGTGCGCCTGGAGACAGGGCTCACGCTTCAGCTGGGCTCCATCAAGCACTATTCCTGATACCAACCCTTCAGCCCACCCTACGAACACTTCTCGCTTTTACCGGCCCCAGGAGCCCGGGGACATTCTGACCGTGCTGTGTTTTCCCCGCCGGCACGACGGAAGTCGGATCCCGTCACTAGCGAGGTGTCCTTGGCATCAGGGGGTGCAAGAGCACAGAAAGCCGGGGAATAACTCAGTGCTGCTCTTGACCCCGTCCCGTGCCAGGGACAAAGCGCGGCTCCTCCGCTGCCCCGCGCCGCCTGCTGTGCCCCGTGCACCCCCCGCGCTCCATTCGGGTCTCACCTTCTTGATCTCGGGAGCCGGGCAGAGGTCCGAGGCGTGGGGGTGCTCGCTGTGCAGCCTGCAGCTGGAGCTGCCCTCGCTCCAGAGGCAGCGGTGCCCCAGGTCCTCCCTCCCCAGGCACTGGGAGCAGTCGGCGCTCCCGGTCGCGCAGTTGTACACCTCCACTGAACCAACGGAGACAACAGAAAACGTGAGCTCCTGGCCCGAGACCTTCACAGCTCGGCTTAGCCTGAGGCAGCCAAGTGCCCCCCCACACCCCAGCCCCCCCGGCTACATGAATCCGAGCAACATCTGAGATCCAGAGGATGAGCAGAGCAGCTTGCGCGCACAGCAAGACGAGGCAGCGCTTGGCTGCCATCCTGGAGATTTCCCAGAAGGACTGGGTGCTTGTTCTCACTGCAATATAATTTAGCACTTTCTTTTCCTTTTTCTTTCCCTTGAAAAACAAACACCACCCAAACTCCGAACCTTTCGTCAATTTATGCTACGTGTTTCCAACGCTCAGCATCCACCGGGGACGCCGCTTTGCAGAGCTGGCTCCAGCCTGTTAGCAAAGCAATCACGGTGCTCCCAGACTCCGCCGAAAATCGGGCAGCTGCAGCGCGTGGGGCAGCGTTCACAGCCTCCCGCCCCCCCCCCCCCCCCCCCCGCGGCCCGGGGGCCCCTGTCACCGGCTCGTCCCTTCAGATCTGCCCAGCTCAGCTCCCACACCATCTTCCCGCGCCGCTCTCCCCCCTTCGTTAGCTGGTGCCCCAGGTTACGTTTCCTCTCCAGCCTAAAGACTCCTGTGGCTGAGCGCGGGTATCCGCCGCCGGAACAGCCAGGAGCGCTCAGGAAACGTCGCCTTCACACCCTTCTCCCCAGGGGAGCCTTTGCAGGGGAACATAAACCAAAGGAACTGCTACGTTTTGCACCCCTGCCCACAGGGGGGTCTCGAAGGGCTTCATAAGCCACCAACAACACCCCCAGCCCTCGGTCTGTGCTCAGGGTGACGAGAGGGGTGCCCCCCACTCTCCGCAAAGAAAGGCGCTCCTCCCGCTCCACCCGGGGTCCCCCCAGGGAGCTGCTCCCCTTGGTTCTCCACCCAACAGCGAAGAGCTGGGATTCCTTCAGCGGACTCCCAAAGCACCGTTTACAATAAAAGCTAACGAATCTTGAAATAATCAATGCTAACAACAGGAATATCCCTGCAGCACGAGGGATGCCCACGCTTGCATTCGGCCCAGCAGATCTCTGTCTCTGCTTGCCAGCCAGCCTCTCTCATTTCACCCGCCCCAATCTGCTGCAGGCGAGGAGGAGCCGGAGCAGCCCAACGGTCCCACGGGATCTCCAAATATTCTGGCAAATTCAGATCAAGGCAAACACAGCCTGCCCAAGCGAGCTCCTTCTCCGCGCCGGAGGGGAGGGGATTCCACACGCCGTCCACTGTCGTTCCCGCTCCCAGCACGCCCCCGCGGAGAACAGAGTCGTCTTCCCTCGCACACCCAAACAGCCTCAGCCCGGCTCTGCCGCCCCTCTCCTCGGGGCTGCCTCCCTATCTCAAAGCCACGGGCATCCCCCTCTGCATGGACGGGATGCCTCGTGCCTGCCCATGCTGGCATTCCCAAGGTTACTTCCCAGGGTGGAACGCTTTGCCGGACGAGCCTCCATTACGCACTGGGATTTACCCCGGGAAACCTTTTCATCCCGGGTCCGCAGCTGAGGTGCTAACGCCTCTCTACCCGTCACCGCAACACTCCAAAGGAAAACCCCTCCTCGGGCATCTGGTTCTCATTAGCACCGGGGTAAATCGGCAGCTGAGGCTGCGGAGCGGGGAGAGAGCCCAGAGCTGCCGCGCTGGCCAGGGGTGCGACACCGCGGCCGGGGCAACCCTCCGTCCCCCTCCTTCCCTGCCTGCCTCCGCCTGCTGATGTAGCAATGGCTTTTTTGGGAACCCGAGCATTCTTCCCAGAGACAGGGAGTGGGACAGGGGTGAAATGGGTTTGCACGTTTTATTCTTTCTCAGCACAAGAGGAAAAAAAAAACCCCTCGATTTTTACAGCGTGCTGAACAGTGATGCCATGCTCCTGCGAGAGCTGAGGGCAGAGCCCTCCCCCGGCCCTTATCTCCTCCGGGAGGAATTCCTGCCCGGCCCCGGGGACCCCGCACCCCTGCTGTGGCCCAGAGCACCAGCAGACCCTGTCCCACGCAAGGACAGCGAGACCTTGGCCGCCGCCTGTGCTCAAGGACGGGGCTTGGCGTTCCCCGGGTGTGAAGGGGATGAGCACGGCATCTGGATTCCGGGCACGCGTTGGCACAGCTCCGGCTCTGGGTAAATGTGGGGCTTTTTGCGTGTGCCTGGGAGAAAGAACTGAGCCGTGCCCGGCCAAGCCATGGTGTCCCTCCCAGCTCTATAAACCAGGACAGGGCTTCAGTCATTTAAGCTAAGCAGACAAGAGCAGAATAAAAATATTTTCAGCTCAGACCTGTCATCATCTCCGGACTGTCGATAAATCTGTCTGGTCTGTCCTTCAGCTGAAGGTTCACTGGGAAGAGCTGGCTTTTTTCTGCTGTGTGGAGCTGCACACGAAACACAAATAAACAAAAGCTTAGGAAATCCAGTAAAACGTGAGGTTCCATACACATGCTACAGGGACTGACATTCCCCCCCCCGGGGCTCCTCCGACCACCGCTCCCCAGGACGGGGGGCTCGTCTTTAGCAGAGCGAGGGGAGGCTGCCTTCTGCCTTAAGTGCTGTGCTGGGGTCCCGGCCCAGGTGGGAGGTTGGGGGCAAGACCCCCCCTGCCCTCGGACCTGCCCCACACCGCGGGGGAGCGGGGGCTGGCGGCCTCGCCCTCCAACTCACCAGCACGTGTACGCACTCCACGGCAGAGGAGTTCACCCACCGGGCTTCAAACGTCCTGTCTGTCCCAAAATGGCACTCCAGAGCTGTCTCCTGGGAAAGACAGGGGCAGAACGGCTGCAACAACCATTTTGTGCAGTTCTCCATCTCAGCCAACCAACGCAACAGGCACCATGTCTCACCTTGTTTCTGCCGTCAGTACCCGAACTGCGATCAAGTCGAACAGGCGATCAGAACCCGACACTGTAAACGGGGATGGGATCTGTGCCCAATCAATCCTGCTCTGTTACACAGCTGTGCCTAAAGCTGCTGCAGGCTGAGCATCGCCAACGGAGCCAAGCCCCGTCCCCTGCGCTCGCCCCGCGTGCGGCCGTGAAAACCCACAAACCAA